CGACCCTACAATGATTCAAAACCCTGCCTCATCTTCCTCAGTCCATACGGTCACATCGACCAAATCGAATCCTGTTACACGGCCCAAGCAAGTGTCCAAGGCGAGGTCTCCGCCATCTCCTTGTCGGCACTGCGGCGCGTGGCATTTCCACCGGGATTGCACTTTCCGCCAGCATCGCTGCCAAAGCTGTAATCAAGTGGGACACCGTGGTGGATTCTACAAATCGAAACCAGCTTCTGGAGTCAAGCCAGCCTCCGCTACTTCTAGTTCCAACCACCGTTTCCGGTCAAAACGCAGGTGCAAAAACCAGTCCATTGGCCATTCTCTCAGTCTCTCCCAGTCCGCCACAAGCGCGTGCGGTGGTATCGTTCAGCTAATTGGGCAACTGCAATGCTGTGTGTCGTCCCGCGGTGCCAGCATCACTGCGATCTGCTGCATCACCAAGTCTGATCTAAACCTACTTGGTCTCAACTGGATTGAACAACTTGGATTGGCCGATATGCCGCTCCGCGTCGTTTGCAGTCAGGTGCAGATTCCCGCCGTGCTTGCAGACCAAGCCAATGGCATTCTCCAACGCTTTGCTCCAGTGTTCCAAGACGGTTTGGGTCGCTGCACATACACTCAAGCCGTGCTTCATCTGTCTCCTGGAAGTCAGCCAGTCTTTCGTCCAAAGCGACCAGTCCCATATGTAGCCCTACCACTTGTCGTTTCTGAACTGAAGCGTCTAGAGGAACTGGGAGTTCTAGTTCCTGTATCCCACTCCTCCTGGGCCGCTCCAATCGTTGTGGTTAAGAAGCCCAATGGCTCGATTCGCATTTGTGCTGACTTCTCCACCGGTCTCAATGCCGCGTTGACGCCGAACTGCTATCCATTGCCGGTTCCGGTTAATCTTTTCACCCTGCTGAATGGTGGCACTTGCTTTGCCAAGTTGGATCTCGCTACTGCGTATCTGCAGATCGAGGTCGCCCCAGAGTCGCGCGAATTGTTGACCATCAATACCCACCGCGGTCTGTTCCAATATACCAGGCTGCCCTTTGGTGTCAAGACCGCCCCCGCCCTATTCCAACAAACGATGAATGCAATGCTCTCCGGCATCCCTGGCACAGCTGGGTACCTGGACGACATCACCATCGTGGGTCGCTCCCCTGCCGAGCTGCAAGACCGAGTTTGCGCAGTACTCAAACGCGTGCAGGAATATGGCTTTTTGTCTACGGACCGACAAGTGCCAATTCTTCCTCGACTCCATCAAGTACCTCGAATTCGTTTTTGACGTTACTGGTCGCCATCCAGATCCTGAAAACATTCGGGCCATCCGAAGGATGCCTCCCCCTAAGAATGTGTCGCAACTTCGTTCGTTCCTTGGCCTGATCAGCTACTATAGCGCCTTCCTACCATCGCTGCATGACGTACGGGCCCCCCTCAACCGTCTGCTGCAGATGGATGCACCCTGGTGCTGGTCCCCCGACTGCGAAACGCATTCGCCCAGCTAAAGTCGATGTTGAGTTCAGATCTACCGCTCACGCATTACGACCCGACGCTGCCGATCGCTGTTGCTGCAGCTGCTTCCAACCACGGAGTTGGTGCCGTCATCTCACATACTTTTCCTGACGGGTCTGAAAAGGCCATCATACATGCATCTCGCACGCATTTCCTGCGGAGAAGAACTATGGGCAGATAGAGAAAGAGGCTCTAGCCCTCGTGTTTGGCATTAAGAAATTTCACAAACTGTTGTACGGCCGCCACTTCACGTTGTTGACGGATCACAAGCCGTTGCTGTCAATCTTCGGTTCGAACAAGGGCATTCCCGTCTATTCAGCCAGCCGACTTAAGCGATGGGTAACCATCCTTCTTGGCTACGATTTCGACATTCGTTACTGTCGCGCTACAGACTTTGGTCAGGCGGACGCCCTTTCTCGCCTCGACAGCAATCATCGGGAACCCGAGGAAGACACCGTGATTACCGCCATTTCGATTGAGGACGATGTGCGCCGTCAGCTATCAGACGCCGTACGAGGTATCCCTGTCACTTCCGCGGACATCCAACGTGCTACTGAACAGGATCCTGTCCTCCGTCAGGCCATCACCTACGTGCATACCTGCTGGCCAGCCACTGCTCTCGCTGGTGATCTTCGCCAGCTCTTCCTCCGCCAAGCATTGCTATCAGTGGTTGACTCCTGCCTCATGTTTGCAGACAGTGTGGTGAAGGAGAGTCGGCCTTGTCGTTGCACGAATTAGATGGCGAAAAAGGCTCGGGAAATTAAAGAAAATCGTCAGTATCAAGGCCGACCAACTCGTAAAGACGGGTGGTATTTAGTTCGATTAGTTGTGTAGCACGAATTGCGACATTAGACACTGAAACTTCAGCCAGTTAATATGCTCACTCGATAGGCTTTGCCAACAAAGACATGACACAAGCCTCGGCACAGCAGGTGGGGTTTTGATGCCAATTAATTGGTCATCGTGCCTTATAAAGTAGAAATCCCCCCATTGCATATTATGGGTCTGCGTCACGTCGACTGAGACAGAATATTCAACAGCACGTACCGATTTGTGCTGTTTGCAGGACAGAAGGGGCATTTCCGTTTTAAAATGAATCTTAAGTCCTGCAGTGAACACAGGCTGGCGTTAGCTGGTAACTAGTCATCGTGAAGGCCAGCAGTCCGAAGTCTCATTACCAACTGACTGGACTTTAAATCACAGACATGGTGTGATGCTGGCTACCACTGACCGATAACGAAGAATAAAAAGGAAGTGGGACTTCCAGTGGTCAGCGTGAGTTCTAGACCCAAGTGAAAATACCTCCATGTTTTGTTTGACTTATTGGCAAGACCAGCAAACATTGACACATTAACAGCGCAATTCCAGCAAAAATTGGCTCGAATAAAAGATTCGTTTACTTAACTCACAAGTATTCCCCGGTAAAAGCACAAATTTATAGAAATACTGTACTGAAAATAATTTAAAAATAAAACGCGACCAGGAGGGGTGTCTTAAGGACAAATAGCTTGCACCAACAACCTACAAAGTGTCAGTACTCAACTTCGCTGAATCCACTGTGGCTAGTAGACGATTATCACGGAGAAGTTCCGAAAGGAACTAAGAAAAATCAGGGGGTTGAGGATCGTAATCTACTATGGCAGAAGTTCGAGTGCTAGGATGATTAATTTTATTCTGTACCTATGGTAGCTCGTTGTTAGTTTGACGTTCGCTGGTGGGGCAGAACAACTAAGTATTCCTTTGTGGGCGGGTACATGGCTCGCTTGTGTGCTTGGCATGTCAGTGTCAGCCTGGAAAATGATTGGCTGAGCTAACTGTTTGTTGGACGCTGATTGGTCGGTCCGTGGGCTGAGCCGAGGGCATATAATCACGAGGCTCCAAGGCGATGTCAAACCACACCGGTCGATGCGCGTTTGTGGGCGAAGCAGTGACTCGACACAGCTAGACCAAGGGAGCCTTAGGTCAAGCCTGAGGAATAATCGTCCTTTAGCGGCACGTCTGCAGGTCCGCTTGGTTGCCTTGGTCGTCGACTGACAGTCAGACGCAAAAGTGGGATAGCAGTGTGGCTCCTACATCGTAGAGGCACGGTGATAGTTGAGGCAGCAGAGATGCCGCTTGTCGCGCCAGCATGTGTCGCGGGATCATTGTTGCGTTGTAGTCAATATACCTGTTACCAGTCGGTGCAGGCATCATGCAATCGCAATGAAGACAGGGGGAAATTCATTGATGAAGGACTGCGGATTTCCTCGACGTCGGATGCACGTTGGTGTTGTAACTGTGGTTGCGGAGGCGGCCAAAAAGATCGGCACGCGCCTTGACTATGCGTTGACAGTGGAGGAATGTTAGGAGACGGTGACAGTTGGCGGCGAGGTTCCGTGGCGTTTTCGACCTTGTGTTCCTTGCCCTCTTGTTTGGCCTCCAATGATCAGATAACATCTGGAAATTCTATGCAAGTTTCCACAGCGGACCGCCATGTTTGCTGGTCCTGTGTTAAGATCTTCAAGCAGTCCTGGTTGTTTATGCGATCTTTGAACGACAACGTTAGCGTGCCATGTAGCGTCCTTTGTGTCCTCGCCTGTCATTTTCTGTTTAATTCCGACTTTGGAGCAAAATTTCTGGCAGGCAACCGCGCAGGCAGATCCGCTCTCTTGGATCTGGGCCTGTCTGGATTATGAAAAACGTGCTAAGTATAACAGTTTATTCCCTAAGCCGGAAATCCGGTACCGTTCTTTCTATTTCGAATTGAGAATATCCCAAAGGAACTAAGAAGTCGATAGAAGCAGAAAACAGCCACCGACCTATTAAACGCTTCCTGATCTTTTGAGGGCAGATGTCAGCATTTTGGCCGAAGTCGGTCTCTCCATGACGCGCAGACAGCGGGCTTGCATCATAAATGCATAGCCCCTTTTCGATTGTGAGCAAGAAATGTCTTTGTCCAAGGGTTAAAATGGTGACCGAAGTATTGCCAGTATGCAGATTTTATTGTCAGACCAATTCAACTCAAGCAATTGGCCCGGATTAAATTTTGACGAGATTATTGATTTACATTCATATCGCATCAAGTGCTTCCCATCTGCGTTATGACAGATTCCCAGCATTTCGCGCCAATTAGTGCAGGGTGGCGTGTTTGTACCACGTTGGGATGGTATGGTCGACAAGACGGAGATTCCCAAATCAGAAGTAAGGAAGACGGATCGGTTTGGACAACTTTAACTGCTGAAGAAGTGTGTACCCAAGGGCTCTGTGAGCAGACGCCGCGAGCAGTCTCTCCAGGCAAGTTGTGAGTCTGTGTCCACCGTTGAGGTACCTATACTCCAGCGGGTGAGTACGCCTTCAGCGGTCTCTGTGTTCTCCAGCCAATCAGGGAGGGGGCAGCGTTAATTGGCCTCGAGCTCTCGCATGGCTAGTGACAGGGCACGCACGTCCCAACAGCGAGGCGACAGAGAGTGTAGGGCAGACAGGAGGACAGCGTGACGAATAGTTGGAGAGAAATGAGGTGCGGACTGGCAAAACTCACGCACAAAATAATTTTAATGATGGTAGGCTTGAGAATTATCCACCGCACTACCGCCTCCCTCAGGCACCCGAACCAGGTGTTAATAACTCCTTCTTCCCTCATCAACCGAACTAGGAGAATAGGTACTCCGGATACGCTGGAGAACGAACTCGTGATCATATAAAACGCTCTGTGACAAAACGGCCTTCCCGACAAGTTTGTCAGTAAATATATGGGAGAACATCCCCCGAAAGCGGATCCGCCGACGGCTGAGAAGGAGGAGTTATTTCTCACACTGCCATTTCGAGGAGATCCGGCGAGCAAACTTCTACATCGTCGCTTAACGGCTGCTATCGCGCGCACGTACCCAGTCGCTAAGATAAGACTAGTGTTCATAAGTACTCCACTTGTGCACCCTGAAGGTGAGGATAGACGGCTCTTTAAGATCTCTTCGGTGCGCATCTACGTCATCACGTGCTCGTGTAATGCTAGTTATCTTGGTCGAACAACTAGGCGCCTATCCAAGCGGATGTGTGGACACCATCCTGCCTGGGTAAATCATGGCATGTAAAAACCCATTTCTAGCTCAACTGTGACATAACGGATTAACAGCGCCACGGGGTAGACGTCAACCAGGCATTCCGAGTCTTCTATAAGATGCCAGCGAGAAACTCCAAATTCCTGCATCAGTGAATACCTGCGACTGTAGAGGCTATGGCCATACGTTTAGCCAACCCAGCCGTGTGCTCGCATAAAGCGTTTGTATAAGCCCTAAGGTTCCCTTGGGCAATGACAAACTTAGCATGTGTTCTCATCCCCCGCGTCAGGTTACAGCGATGAAACGGGGACATCTAATAGCCAGACACCTTCCCCCATCCCCTTTCCTAAGCTCCTGACAGTAGTAGACTCTGACCCCTGACCAGTGACCACTGAACGTCCCTCACCCTCTCCCTCATTCTGATTGTTTATTGGCTG